AATATTGTAGTTTTATATTATATTGATAGACGTATATAATATTATATTATGTCTATATTTACCTATTTTTTTTTAATTGAATTTAAACGCAGACACGTGCTGATCCTGCGGAATGTTAACCGTATCCGAGCTTCGTGCTGAATTCCTTCTTTTTCTTTTGTTTCACTGTACTTTTCCAACGTATTTTATTTACATTGCTTTTAAAATATTTCTGTCAGCGAAGGGTCTTTGCTCTTTTTTTAACAAATCCGTTAATCATTTCTCTCGCCGGTCTCGTTATGTTTTATTTTATTTTATTTTATTTCTTTTTTTTTTTTTTTTCAATGATCCTTCGATTTTCAACGAATATACGAAAGATTATTCTTATTGTTTTGATTCGACGAAACATTGTTATATAACTATCCCAATACTCAAAATCTAATTCAACAAGATCAACCAGAATTTGAGACACAAAACTGGTCACGCTTTTAATTATCTAACTTGTTGAAATTGAACAAAGTTCTACAACAGTTTAAACTAGACACGATTAGACGAGATTACGGCTTGACGCACGCTTACGAACAATACAATTACTAGACAATATTGATACGCTTTTATGTTTCAATCTTTCATATGTAGAGATATTAGATTTAAAGTATGCCATACACGGTGAGTCCCATAAGTATTCTTACACCTACTGTCAATTTAAAACGATCAATATATTTTCACGTAATACGATATTTACAAATTTTTATTTGCAAAAACATATTTTAGAATTATTATAATTTTTAAATTGATATATCAATTTTTTATTGCATAAGGAGACACATTTTATTATTTTAAAAAAATCAAAATGTTCTTACTTGATAGATATCAATTTGTCAATCAAATGATCCTTAAATCTGATTTTGCTTATTACAATTTGAAAAGTTTGCATTACAAGTAAATATCAATGATTTCAAATTTACAATGGGAAAAGTAAAAAGTGAGTAGCGGGTAAGTACGAATACTCCTGTGACTCGCTAAATCTTTTATAAACCATGAAAGACCGTCTAAATGAAATTTCTTGTTTTAAAACTATTATTACAAATTATTCCAATATTATGTAGATACATATTAAATATTTTGATACATACGACGGGGTGGCCCACGGTTAAATTGTTAACTATAAAAAAGGTTGCGCCATCGTGGGCCACGCTGCATATGTAAGTATTATTATTTATTATTATTTCACGTACGTTATAATCACGCTTAGTAGTTAAGTCTCTAGTTCCTCGAAGGAGGTTCGAGGGTAAGAAGGACCATTGCAACAACGAGAACGGCGAATAGGAGCAGAGACACTTCGCGTGGCATCTCGTCGTCGTCCGAAGACAATTTTTTATCAAAAATCCTAACGAAAAATTTCCCAATAAAATCCCAAGGAAAGAATTCCAATGTCAACAAAAAAAAAAAAAAAGAAAAAAAAAAAA